GAGCCCCGGGGCTACTGCCCAGCCTCGGGTCAGCCAGTCGCAGCAGCAACGAGGGGGCGGCCTCCACACGCACGGGGGAGCCGCTCCCCCGGAGCTGGGGGAGGAGCGACGGGGAGGGGGTGGAACAGAACTGGGACCCCCTGCCCCGCCTCGACCCCGGAACGGCTATCAGCCCCACCGGCCCCCTGGGGGAGGTGGGGGCAAGAGGAGAAATAGCTGCAATGTAGGGGGAGGTGGTGGAGGCTTCAAACATCCGGCCTTCAAGAGGCGCAGGCGGGTTAATTCGGACTGTGACTCTGTGTTACCTTCCAACTTCCTCCTGGGGGGCAATATCTTTGATCCACTGAACCTGAATAGTCTCCTGGATGAGGAAGTGAGCCGCGCACTCAATGCTGAGACCCCTAAGTCATCCCCGCTTCCGGCCAAGGGGCGAGATCCAGTGGAGATTCTCATCCCCAAAGATATTACTGACCCACTGAGTCTCAATACTTGCACTGATGAGGCCCAAGTAGTTCTTGCTTCACCACTCAAGACTGGTCGGAAGCGACATAGACACCGGGGACAGCACCACCAGCAGCAGCAGGCAACTGGAGGGATTGATAGCCACTCGGTGCTGCCCACAGCTCCCCCCACTCCCTCACTCCATGGGGAGGGCACCACACAGCAGCAACGGCATAGGGGCCAGAACCAAAACCGTGATGCCCCCCAGCCCTATGAACTCAACACGGCTATCAACTGCAGGGATGAGGTCGTGTCTCCCCTTCCGTCTGCCCTACCGGGTCCCTCAGGCTCCCTCTCAGCCTCTTCAGCTGCCTCAATTACCTCTGCACCCCCGTCTTCCTCCTCACGACATCGAAAACGTCGCAGGACTTCCAGCAAGTCAGAGGCAGGGGCTAGGAGTGGAGGAAGCCAGGGTCCCAAGGAAAAGGGCCGAGGGAGTGGGGGAGGCCGCCACCACCTCCACCCACTACCTGCAGCAGGTTTCAAAAAGCAACAGCGCAAGTTCCAGTATGGGAATTACTGCAAGTACTATGGGTACCGAAATCCTTCCTGTGAGGATGGGCGCCTTCGGGTGTTGAAGCCTGAGTGGTTTAAGGGTCGGGACGTCCTAGATCTGGGCTGCAATGTGGGCCATGTGACCCTGAGCATTGCCTGTAAGTGGGGCCCATCCCGCATGGTAGGCCTGGATATTGATGCCCAACTCATCCACTCGGCCCGCCAAAACATCCGACACTACCTGTCAGAGGAGCTGCGTCTGCAACCCCAGACTGCTGAGGGGGACCCAGGGGCAGAGAGTGAGGAAGGGATCAAAACCGTTCGAAAGAGGACCTGCTTCCCAGCCTCACTGACAGCAAGCCGGGGTCCCATTGCTGCACCCCAAGTGCCCTTGGATGGAGCAGACACATCAGTCTTCCCCAACAATGTTGTCTTCGTTACGGTAAGAGGGTCTTGGGATAGGGCCCAGGTATGAGGATGAGATTAAATGTGACGGGAAGGTTATGAGCCAGAGGGATTTCTGTATATGCAGTCCACACCAGGAGAACCAGATCCTCAAGAGAAGGGTCTGAATCCACTGGGTGTCCCTTCCTATAACCTGGAAAGGTGGAAGGAAGCTCTACCTGGGTTCCTTTCTTGTGACTCCTAGCCCCAAAATGGGATCTGACCCCTTTTGCCCTCCTCCCTACCTGGACTGTAATCCAGGCCAGTCCACCTTCTCTAGGGGGCTACTGCTGATGCTCACTTGGGGATCTGGTCCACATGGAAACTTGTCCTCTAACCTCCTGAAGGTGCATGAAGGGATGGGTATCAGACATGGAATGTCTCGGGGGAGGGAGGATTAGGATAGTGGCTAATATATGCAGTTTCTTTCCATTGATAAGGACTTAGTTTGCATATGATATAGAGTTGAAGAGTGTCGGTGGTCAGGAACCCAAGTGCTTGGCCTTGGATCATCTCCACATTGACCCTAGATAATAGGATGGAGAAGAGTCAGAGTCCTCTGCAGGCGGGGAGGGTAACATGCCTTCAGCGTCTGTGTCCTGACTGCCTGCACATAGCTCCTCATGAGACACTCCAATTCGCCATTTGCAGTAGTGTTGGAAAATGGACTTTTTTCTAGCTTATCTAGAAAAAAATTTCCTCAGGGATGGTCTCTTCACTTCTCTGGAAAGAACAATCCTAAAACTTTGCCAGCCCCAGCTACTGAGAAGGAACCACAGGTCTCCCTTTCAAATCTGGGTTAGGTCCCGTTGAGTCGCTCGGCTTAATGGACAGCGTCTTGGAGGAACTCTAGCATTCTTTCTCGGCAGTTTCACCCCAACTTTGGAGATCTTGTGAGGCTTCTTTTTGTTTGGTTTACCACCAATAGCATGCAAAAAAGTGATACTGGCGGTATCAAAGATGATTGTGGCCAAGGGCTATAAAGTGAGGCTGCAGATTGAATGTGTGGGTTCATAGTTCTTTTAATGCCGCTGTTGACCTCTCCCTCAGGGTAACTATGTGCTGGATCGAGATGAGCTGGTGGACGCCCAAACACCTGAGTATGATGTGGTGCTCTGCCTCAGCCTTACCAAGTGGGTACATCTGAACTGGGGAGACGAGGGACTGAAGCGCATGTTTCGACGGATCTACCAGCACCTACGCCCTGGGGGCATCTTGATCCTCGAACCCCAACCTTGGTCAACCTACGCCAAGAGAAAGACTCTCACAGTGAGTTGGTATTTAAGTGGAAATTGGTATGTCCTTTAGTTGAGGCAAGAAAGACCCCAAAGAAGTGGAAAGAGGACTTTCTGAACAAGGTGAAAAGATCTCCTGGGTGGGCATCATTCTCTGGCAGGGAGAAGGCAGCAAGCTGAAGTGGTCCCTGCTCTTCTCCCTAGGAAACAACCTACAAGAACTATTATCGAATCCAGCTGAAGCCAGAGCAGTTCAGTTCCTACCTGACATCCCCAGAAGTGGGCTTTTCCAACTATGAGCTTGTGGCCACACCCCACAGCACCTTCAAAGGTAAGTCTGGCTTATTTTGGTGGGGGAGGGAGACCAGTCCGGAGGGAGAAGGTACAGACCCTGTGGAGTCTTGAGGTCCTGCCCATCCCTCCTGATTGCACACTCTCCTCTTAGGCTTCCAGCGTCCTGTGTACCTGTTCCACAAGGCCCGTTCCCCCAGCCACTGAATGGCCCCTTGAACAGAAAGTGTGAAGAAACTGCCCGCTGCTCTTAAGGACCTGGGGAAAGAAAATATCCCGCTGTCTTTCCTTTCTTGGATCTGCATAGAAAGCTTTTCCTGTGTTGCTGCCCCAGCCTCCTCCCTACACCTCTGGTACCTAAGCAGCAAGCCCAGCTGTTCTGGATTTACCGCCATCTTCCTCTTCCCCCAGCCCACTGGCTGGATGGCATGGACTGTTTGCTGATCTCTGTTCTCCTAGGGCACAGGAGGTGGGGAGTTATCAAGTTCTCTGGGCTCTTCCTCCTGTCCTTCCAAGGAGAAATTCCCATTCTCCTCAGCCCTTGTCCCTGCCTACGTTTCAGTGGACCACATGATAGAGGGACTGAGGCTTAAGAGGGGGAAGCTTGATGGGGAGGCATGCAGGTACTGTGAAAATCCCTCTGCTGTCCCCCATGGGAGAGGGGGTTGGGTTTGGAATGTAAGAACAGCACAATAAACGATGTTTAGGGCAATGGCCCCCACACCTATGTCTGGTACTTTTGTGTATATATATATTTTATTTCAGAGAGAGGAAAGGAGAGAAACATCAATGATGAGAATCATTGATCGACTTGCTTCCTGCACACCCTACATAGGGAGTCCTGCAACCCAGGCATATGCCCTGACCAGGAATCGATCTGTGACCTCTTGGTTCATAGTTCGATGCTCAACCACGGGGCCACACAGGCCAGGCTGTCTGGCACTTTTTAACTGGTGGGAAGGGATGGTGCCTCCCAGTACAACCTGTGCTTCCTCTGTCTAAATTACTCTCAAGGTTTTTCAATGATTGGGAAGATTGTGGATTGCTACATCTACACACAACTATATAGGACCCTAGTCAGGAAAAAGGGGTATGATGCAAATTTTGATGTGAAACTTGAAAAGTCCATCTATCTCCCATCCTCCCCCCACCAAAAAAAAAAAAAAAAAAAAAAAAAAAACCATCGACAGGTTTTTTTTGTGGAAGCTTTGGCAGAAGGCTAACTTTGGGATTTAACAGTAGAGTTGAAGTGGAGCTAGAAAAAGACACTTTGGACCGGACGGACTCCCTGCTCTAGGACCTCCCTACCATCCACCCTCCTTTTTTGATGCTGTGGAACCAGCTAATAGGCAGTTTAACTTAACATGTAGCTATTCAGTGGCTTGTCAAGTATTTACTCTGGTCAGGTGTGAAGATGGGCAAGGCCCTTGAAGGTAAAAGCAAGGGGATAAATAAATGCTAGTAGCTGCCTTACCAGGTTCCTTGAGTTCAGGTAACATGCAGGCTGAGATCCACATGAAGTGATCAGATATAAGTGGTGCAAAGAAACAAGTGTGGTGTCATACAAAACAAAGGTGGCAGGTGTGACTGCAATCAGGAAGATGTGGGGAGGGTACCTAACCCCCGACTTGGCTCCAGCTAGTGTGCTCACTGGGCTGGGGACTCCTACACTGAAAGGTGGCGAGTTCATTCCCAGTCTGGCGCTTACTAGAGGCAACCAGTCGAATGTTTCTCCTATCCTCTCTAAAAATCAATAAACATCCTAAGGTGAGGATTAAAAGAATAAAAACTAAACCTCTTACTTGGACCAGTGTTTTCTACTGGTCATTACGGAGTTCCTTAAAGAAGGGGCCAAAACACTTGGCTTCCAGGCAGCTTCTAGCCTACAGCTTTCCATCTTAAGCCTTCCAAGAAAAGTCCCCAGTTGTTAGCAAAACCACTTTATTATGTTACTTTCAACACAAAAATACAAGCAATTCCGGGCGCCTCCTGGTCTACACTTCCCATCGCCGTAGCGTTCGATGCATGAGGAAGGTATCCTCTGAAGGGCGGGGCCGGAGCTGAAGGCGGAGAGCGGGCAGACTGTCCAGGGTCAGGTGTGGAAATTCATAAAATAACGTTTCTGGGTCACACAGCATCGTCATGTCCGGCCCTGGCCCAGGGGGCTCCTGTCGGAATTGGAGTCCAAAGCCAGGTTACACTCGGAGAGGGAAGAAGCCGCGGCGGCCAAGGGCAGGGAACACGGGAGGGGACTCCGGCCCAGGCCCTCACCTTCGGAGGCGGGGCTCGGGCCTGCGGGGGCAGGAGCGCCAACCTCTCCCTCAGCGCCGCGCTCAGAACCTGCTCCTCGGGCACCTGCAGGCTCACCAGGTCGCGGAAAAGCCGCTTGGAGCGCGGCACGTTCAGTCCTGAGACGCAGGGGGAGCGGAGGTGAGCCGCGCCTCTCACCCCAACTCCCGCGCCCGGCCTGCCTGCTGCCCCCCCTCACCCTCGGCCACGCTCAC